TATATTACTTGTGTGGTGTAGAAGATAATTATTTAAGAATGTAATTATGTAAGAATGTTAACATTCTTGTTATAATTCTTTAGTATATTACTTGTGTGGTGTAGAAGAGAATTATTTATGTAGAGATACTGCTTGTAAACCAATGATGGTAAGATGATGTCATGGGGTAGGACTGGATAAGTCTGACTTCTTCCTACTCCATTCAAGCATGTACTAGGTATAAGCAAATTGATATTGGATTGTGTGTAAAAATGTGTGTTGTTATATCAACTGTTTTATATGCGTGAAAGAATAAATCAAATCAAATCAAATTCCCTGATCATTGTCCGCAGTTCATGTGCAAAAACAGCAATACTTTCATCATGGTTTAGAGGTCAAATGGGGATTTGACTGTGGACAAATTATGAACCCTTTGATGAATGGCAGAAGTATGTTTCATACAACCTTGCAGGTAGAGATTCATTAGCAGGGTATTACAATGTAAATGCAGATATTTAGTGTGTTGATCAGCTTTAGTTTGGCTATTCATTAGCCAGCTCCTTTCTTTCCATCATATGTTTTTGGTCATTGCTCTGGTTGTAACGTTCTTGCATTAATGTTGTGGGGGAGTAGGTAATTTGTTCTGTAACAATCCTGGTGTTGTGTGCCTCTTCAGGTTTGAACACTGTAAACCAACAAAGAACGAGGAGCTGCCAACTCCTCAGACGCTGCCGCTGCCCTCCGTCTCACTGGCTGGCCCGTCAGACCCAGAACCCAGTGGGGTAACACCCGTCCCAGGGGTACAAGACTGGGTCAACGCTGCTGAATTTGTTCCAGGACAGCCATACTACGGACGGGGTGAGCAAAGAGCATTGATTATTTCAAGTGTGATATTGAAACCCAGCCTTGAATATAAACCTAATTTCACCATCTAAGTTGCCATCTATTATGGTGGGATCGTCTTTTCCATTTTTTCATCTTTTAATGTCACAATTAATGGTTTGTTTTGAATCTTCCAGTTTAATAAATGAAACAGTCTACTCTATGAGAGATACATGTGTCATACACATAAAGACACTACATTATTTTGTGCTCCAAGTTTAATTTTGGCAGTTTCAGACAGCCATTTAATTCACATAGCTCTCCTCTGTCTGTCTGTGATCTCTCTATCTGCTATCTATGGTCTGCCTGTGAGCCCTCTAGATTCACTGTAGCCATGGAGTATAATGGTATAGTTGGAAAGAAAGTAAATAAGAAAAATTTAAATGAATTTTTCCAGTATACTCCTCAAGGAAGCCTACATGGAAAAAAACGTTGTCCACTGAGTTACTGATCTTTCTAAAGGAGGAAAAGGCAGTTTGTCCTTTGAGGACAGAGATTTCAGTACTAGAGGTACAATCAACATGGAGTAAACAGTTGAGTGCTTCATTAGCCAGGTACACACTACTGACACATCTATGTTTACTACACTCAGTCAGTGTGAACCCAAAACAAGAACTAAAAGACAGTAGTATATCTTCTTTTTCTTTGTTCTGTCAACTCGGCACCAGACGTGAATGGCACATAAATGGTGCCACGTAGCTTGCATGGACCCGCTGTCATCTGGTCTGAAAAATCATAGCAGCTAGAATTATGATTTGTCAAGTCAAGGTTTAAGGGTTGACTAAATTGAATTTTGAGGCCAGTAAGTGCATTAAGGAAAATTGTAATGCAGAAAGGAATTTTAAAGGAAGGAAGGTCCTCAGATCACAGTCTGCTGATTTGCAAGACTGGGCAAAAGCATGTACAGTGGTAAGAAAAATTAAGTAGACCCTTTGGAATTACTTCCACTTATGTGTACACAGTTCTTCTTCATCTAAGTTACATTAATGAATAAGCACAATATATTGTAACTAATAACACAGAAATCAGTCCACAGTTTAATGAACAGTCTATCAATTGAAGTGAGGACCTGGCTACAGGGCTCCACACTTTATTTTTAGGGGCAAAAATGTAGACGCACAGAAAAAAAAGACTTGAGGGAATAGTGCATAAAAGTTTGAAACATAAGATAGTACATCTTATGTTTCAAACTTGTAAAGAACCAGGGTACATTGAATGAATGCATCCATTTTCCAAGAGTGTAGAATCGACTAATTAATTTTGTGCTTTTATAAATACAGCAGGAGTTTTAAGTCCCACTCAGTGGCCTCCTAGAGTACCAATAAAATGTTCGTGGTCACTACAAACTGTGAACTGATTTACAACTGCCATCCCTAGGAACTTGCAGTCAGTTGCAACAGTGCACACAATTTTTCACTCTTGTGCACAAATCTTTGCTTGTATGTGCAAGTGAAATGGTCACACTTGAGCTAACTCTAAACAGACAGTACAGATTGCTAAATCAGGTAACAAATGAGTTTAAGTCTTTAACTAATCATCAGAGCTGGTTACCATCTCTACTATGCACAAATTATTGAACTGCTATGGTGTCCATGGCAGGATGTCACAAAGGAAGCCACTGCACTCCAAAAAAATCAACACTGTTGAAGTGTTTTATAGAGCAAATTAGTTAGGAAGAATGTGCAGCACAATGTATGGCATATAAAGGTCACGGCATAACACCACGAAAACAACAGTGAAGTACAGTTCGGGGAGCATCATGATTTAGGCTGCTTTGCTGCCTCTGGACAGCTGCCATCATTCAGGGGAAAAGGAATTCTCAAGTTTATCAAGGTGTTTTATAGGAAAATGTTGGAGTGGCTGTCTGCCAGGTCTGTAATGCAGCAAAATAAACTAAACTCTAAGGCTCCACACATTGGACTAAATCTACTACAGAATGACTTCAGAGAAAGAAAATTCACCTTCTGACATGGCCTAGTGACCATGTCAGAAGGTGGTAGTCACACCAGATGCTCTAAGAATACGGCTGAGCTTGAAGCAGTTCTATAAAGAAGAAGAATGGTGCCAAATTCCTCCTGAATGCTGTGCAGGTCTGATATGCAGGTGCAGGAAGTGGTTATTTGAAGTCATTGCTGCCAAGGTGGTTTGACCCGTTATTAAGGCCGAAGGTTCATTAACTTTTTCCACCAGCACTCTGAATGGGTTATGGATGTGTTCAATCAAGACACAGAAGATTATAATTGTGTTATTATCTTCAACACATTGTTTTGCCTTAAAGGACAGATGTATTGTATGACCAATTAATGCAAATCCAGGTAATTAAAAAGGGTTCATATACTTCTTTCTTGCCATTGTGAGGTTTAAGAGTTTTTTTTTTTCCCCCTCATTAAATTGACATATAAAGATGTTTGCACAGTGTTTTTTTGTTTTTCCTCTAACGATTGATTGCTTGTGTCCAGCTGAGCCAGTGAAGGTAGTGAGCTCTGTCCCTCTCATTGAGGAGTTTGACAGTGACACAGTGCTAGACAACAAAGAGTTGAAGAAGCAGCTCTGTCCGTACGCCGCCGTTGGAGAGTGCCGCTATGGACTCAACTGCGCCTATCTCCACGGCGATGTGTGTGACATGTGTGGCCTCCAGGTGCTCCACCCCACTGACAACAACCAGCGCTCAGAGCACACTAAGGTAAAGGTTACAGACCCAACCTGGTGCTGGATCCACCAGCAAAAAACAAAGAACTTGATACATTTCCTGAATGTCTGAGAATATCAGGGATGCCTTCACTTGGTATGCCTTTATACTTTATAAGGTATATTGTTTCCAATGTATTTATTCTTCTGGCTTTTGGTATTTGTAGAGTATAATACATACACAATATTTGCAAGTCTCAAGTTCTTGAATGCGCTGAATTCAGGAGGTGTTAAGTTCTACAATTTCATTAGGTTTTATTTTCTTACCTGCCGTAGACGGTAACCTTAGTTTAAACATTTTTGTGTGTGTGTGTGTGTGTGTGGCTGCTGTCTGTTGTGAAACATACATCAATAAACTACAAGCAAGAGTTTTGACAATGGATTCTTTATACAAGATTTTTTTTTTGTATTAATCATTACTGCTAGCCACAGTGGTGAGGGAGCTCATAAAGCCACTTAAAAAAAAAAAAAAAAAGGTTAATCTATCCATCAATTATCGATGCTTATCTGGTTTCAGATCACATTCATTGATATTGCTAAGAATATTGTTATATGCAGTTGGAGAGTACCAACAAAAATTGGGGTATAAATGTCAATAGATTCAGGTATTTTTAAGGGTTTAAAAAGTCTTAAATCGCAGAAAGCTTGTGCCTATGTTTCATAGCTACAGTTTAATCCATGTGCTGCCTCACTGAGTTAACTTCAGATTTGTAGCTGTGGTAAGTTTTCTGTAAGGCAGCTACAGTTAACTTAGCCAGAAACTCTGTAATTTGACATGTAGCAGTCGGGTATAAAGAAGACTACAGGTTCTGCTGGAGTTGTTTGATCTACTAAAACACTCCACTCACGATTATACAGTTCCCTCACAAACAGTCTGCATAGAGACACTGGCATGCAAAGCACTTACACTAGACAACAAACAAGTTTATTTTCAACCTGTTATTGTTACTGGGTTAATTGGCAATAGCTAAGAAGATCTGCTGCTGCTTCTGTTTTAACCGGTGAGAGCTACCGTGCTGGCTAAAACCAAGAAGCTGCTCCCTGAAAGCTTTCTACATTGCTCTTTGCTAATGAGGAAGAGAGAGACAATTCAACAAGAGATTCATTAGCATTGTAGCTTAGTCACTCCAGGTATCAGAGCTCAGAGTCACTTTACCCTTAAATTTCATTCTTGTGTGCACTAAAGAGCTCACACTTTAAGACTGTTCTTAAGGAGAGCGCTGCTGCAACACTAGCAGGATAAGACTGCGAAAAGAGAATATAGTTAAAAACATGACTGGCATTTGATCAGATTTATTTTAGGCTCGATACAAGTTCTTAGGATTTGCTCAGGGCTCAGCTTCCACACATTGCTTAAATTAGTAATAATTTGGTGACGTAATTGTCTGTTCAGCTCTACTCACTCCATTTTACTTAAATGAATACAACAATGATAACCTAAGTTACTAGTAGGACATCATAGCCTGCAATGGGTCAAAGTGTTGATGTGAACAAAGCATGTTATGTTGGTGTAACTGTTCCCTCTCTTAGGCATGCATTGAGGCCCATGAGAAAGACATGGAGATTTCATTTGCCATCCAACGCAGTAAAGACATGATGTGCGGTGTGTGTATGGAGGTGGTGTTTGAGAAGGCCAACCCAAGCGAGCGCCGCTTTGGCATCCTCTCCAACTGCTGCCACTGCTACTGTCTAAAGTGCATTCGCAAGTGGAGGAGTGCCAAGCAGTTTGAGAGCAAAATCATTAAGTGAGTCACTTATACATGACAAACTAGGGTGTGGAAAGTGAGTGGGTTTCTTCTGGACTGCCTGTATTTGTTGGTCATAAGAAACCAGTTACTATTATCATTATTTCCTTGGTACGTTGTATGCTTGAAGACTAAATGATAAATAATTTTACATCAATATTTCTGATTTTCTCTGTTGTATATTAATCAGGTAAGCAGGTTATCAGCAACACTTTAACCAGCACAGTCGTCCTCCCACCACACTCCCCTCTCTCAATGCAGCATTTATAAGCAGTATATAAACAGTTCTTGGTTGTTAATATGCAGTGATATAGTAAAAAGCGGGTGTTTATTAATGTGGTAGCACCTTAAAACCCTCATCACTTTATACATCTACATTATAGTACGTAGTAAACATTTATTAAATGTTTATATACTGCTTATAAATGCTAAGTGTGGAATTTACAGTGTTAATAATATTTTTTCTGTTTTAGTGTGTAAAACATCCATTTATGACCAAATAGTTGAGATCCAACAGTTTATAAATCAAAAGGTATTTAATTTACTGCTAGAAATGGAACGATATGGTGTGGCAGTAATTAACCCATTTGCAAACGGTGATAAACAACCAGAGGCTTTGAAATAATTTCTGAATATTTCACAAGCTCAGAATCGTACTTCCATTACATTGTAATTTATTTACAGTGTTTTGTAAATGAATAGTTTGGTTAACAGAGTGTTCTTATTGAAATGTTGGGGTCAGGATGTCACATTTTTCCAGCCCCCAGTAACTACAAATTCAATCTTTTACCAGTCTTTAACAGTACATGTATCCAACTACAGTGTGTTTGGACTCCTTCACCACCATTGTGTTTTTTTTTTTTTTTTTTTGCAGGTCTTGCCCAGAGTGTCGAATCACATCCAATTTTGTCATCCCAAGTGAATACTGGGTGGAAGATAAGGACGACAAGCAGAAACTCATCCAGAAATACAAGGATGGCATGGGGTAAACAACCCATTTCCTATACTGGGGGGTCACAGAGGATACACATCCATACACTCAGTACACACACCTAAAACAATAACGGTGTACAACACTGCTGCAGTGAAGCCTGATTTCTACCAACTTGTTTGCATCTGCTGTGAGAAACAAGTCAGAGAAACAGAGACACTTTAGAATATTTGGTCCACATTTAGTTAATGAAGAGCTCATCTGGTAAATTATCTATAACTCAAGTGCCAAGTGTTGTCCACTGCCTCTAGTGTGTTTTTGTGTTATGTTTTGAGACAGTCTAATTTGCTGTTTTTGGTTTCTCTTGTCTTCTCCAGGAGTAAACCTTGTAGATACTTTGACGAGGGTCGTGGAACATGCCCTTTTGGCTCAAATTGCTTCTATAAGCATGCTTTTCCCGATGGACGGCTGGAGGAAGCTCAGCCACAGCGAAGACAGACTGGAACCAACAGCAGGAACCGGGTAACAGTGCACACTCACTCCTAAAATACTTGTATTACGATGCTAGCCACAGTTTCCTCATCAGTATTAGTTTAGATACTGATGAGGTACTGTCAAAAGCCACTGCTCTACTTTACCTCCACCAACCTGTAGCACCCTCTGCTGGATGTGGAAAATAGTAACTGTAGTAATAATAATAATAATAATAATAATTAATTATTATTATTATTTTTATTATTAAGTATGATGGATGACCAGAAAAAGACCCCTGCCTCTAAGATGTCATGTAAAACAGTAACCTTGTATTAATTACCACCTTCCTTAAATTATTTGTATATTTATAGAGAATACGTAAGTTGTTACTGTGTTGATGTTAGGAACACCTTTATAATATATGGCAGTCCAGTACTAGCTTGCCGCAAG